TGCACAATGATGTGTATAGCAACTGCTCCTGGGGGGGAGGGGGTCCAGGATGGTGTGTACCGCACCGCCCCACCAGCCTAGCCATGATGATATGTATAGTGCCCATGTGCGCGCACACACCCCATTGCTGTCTGCGATGGTGTGTATGGCACCCCTCCCTCCTCCCCCCGGTTGGCCATGATGCTGTGTATAGAACCTGCCTGCACCCACCTCCCATTGCTGTGCAGAATGGAGTGTACAGCAGCTTCTTTGGGGGGGGAGGGGTGCGTTTTGCTCCAAGCAATGGTGGGGGGCGGGGGTTGTGGTTGTGTGCGCGCGCGCACCTGGGCGCTATACACACCATCATGGCTGTCTGGGAAGGGGTGCTGTATACGCAATGGGGGGGGGGCGGGGGTTGTGTGTGTGTGTGCGCGCGCACCTGGGCGCTATACACACCATCATGGCTAGCCAGGGAACGGGGGCACTGTATACACCATGGTGGTCACCCAGAAGCGGTTGCTGGACACACCATTGTGCACAGCACTCGGGGTGGGGTAGGGAGGCAGGTTCTTTACATACCATCATGGCTAGCCAGGAGCGGGTGGGGGCCCTGTAGCCACAATCCTGGACAATCCCCCCCTCCTCCCCCAAAGCAGCTGCTGTACACTCCATTCTGCACAGCAATGGGAGGTGGGTGCAGGCAGGTTCTATACACAGCATCATGGCCAACCGGGGGGAGGAGGGAGGGGTGCCATACACACCATCGCAGACAGCAATGGGGTGTGTGCGCGCACATGGGCACTATACATATCATCATGGCTAGGCTGGTGGGGCGGTGCGGTACACACCATCCTGGACCCCCTCCCCCCCAGGAGCAGTTGCTATACACATCATTGTGCATGGGGGGGGGAGTGGTTTGCAGGCAGGTTTTTGTACTATAATGGCTAGCAGAGGTGGGAAGCAGGGGCACTGTACACACCATCAGGGCCAACAAGTTGAGGGAGGCGTGCAAGGGGCCAGGCTCCAGCTGGTAGGTGCAAGGAGCTATACACAGACGTAAACAAGTGGGGGAGGATGGCACACTGACCCCACCACCAGAGGTGGTGTGGCTGGGGCCCTGGGCACACCTTGTGGCCTGCACCAAGTGGGTGTGCAGATGTCGCCGAGCCCCCCTCTTGGACAGGCCGTAGAGGACCTGAAGATCTCTGTGCAGCTCCAACCCTTGTCCCGTTCACTCAGATGTTGGTCCAGTAAAAGAGATGCCCTTGCCTCCCGTCTTTCAGGTAGTAGCAGTGTTATGTCCGTTGTCTTGGACAGACACAGGCAGGCCCCCGCCCAGGGGAGAGATTTAGTGTCCTGCCTAGGGTGGGGAAGGGGCTGTAGATAACCTCGGACTGGGAAGGGCATGTACTAGAAGCTGCATGACAGCAGCGCTGGTCCTGTGGCACCCAATGTTCTCTTTGTGCTTGCAGGGTGATGGTGCTGCAGGCGGGGCGCATCGTGGAGTATGACAGCCCTGAGCGGCTGCTCCAGCAGCAAGGCCTTTTCTCGACCATGGCTAAGAACGCCGGTATCGTGAGTGCTCAAGCCACGGTGCTGTAGGAGAGCTGGAGCTGACAGGGTAAGCACCCTGCCCAACACTGGCGCACCCACATCCAGAGTCAGAACGTAGGGCAGGGCCCACCGCAAACTGGAACGGACAAACAGCGTATTGCCAGAACCTGTTTCTGTTGCCTCAGTGTGCCTGGCAGCTCCGAGCAGCAGGGCCTGCCCAGGACTTCACTCCTCTTCACCTGGGACTAAAGGAGAGAGTGAAGCCGCTGGGCTCTGAGTCCCTTGAAGAGGGGGCTTCGGGGCTGGGCTAGACAAGGCTAGGACTTACTTCACCGCAGGCAGCAGCTCTGGGCCTGCTGCTGCCATACCCTGGTTCAGATCCAAACCCCGCTACGTGGGGGTAGCTTCAATGCAGATGTGCCCAGGCCAGACCCCATGTGCACATGGGCAGCAGCTCTAACAGACACCTGGGGTGGCTTTGACCTGACACGCAGTCTGGGAGTAGCTTGGCTGAACGTGGGGGTAATTTTACAATCACTTTACTTATTGGTCCTTATTTTCAAGGCACTCAATGGCATAGGCCCAGGATAGCTGAAAGATTAACTAAAGCTCCAGCCTGAAGAGCGTGTTTGACAGTACTGCACCTCTAGCAGAGTGGAGCTCTCTACCGCAAGGCAAAGCTGGGCAGGAGACAGCTGCCTCAGGGGCCAGTCCAGGGCTCGAACCATCTGGCCCATCGCAGAGCTCCTCCCCTTCTGCTCCAAGTGCCAGGCACACTGCTCCAAGCAGCCTTCCCCAGCAGAAAGTGTGTGTCAGGACAGTGTAAAAAGACGTATGCCCTGGGGAGAGGCTGAGAGCACGAGTGAACCCTACGACATGTTAGACCCATTGCTTTAATGCAAAAAGCAACAGAGGGTCCTGTGGCACCTTTAAGACTAACAGAAGTATTGGGAGCAACAGCTTTCATGGGTAAGAACCTCACTTCTTCAGATGCAAGTAATGGAAATTTCCAGAGGCAGGTATAAATCAGTCTGGAGATAACGAGGTTAGTTCAATCAGGGAGGGTGAGGTGCTCTGCTAGCAGTTGAGGTGTGAACACCAAGGGAGGAGAAACTACTTCTGTAGTTGGATAG